CAGACAGACAGACAGACAGACAGACAGACAGAGACAGAGAGACAGAGACAGAGAAACAGAGAGGGGGGAGGGAGGGAGGCGAGGAGTAGAGAGGTGGGCACCTAGTGGGAGGAAAGCAGGCTAGAAGAGAAAAGAGAGAGAAATGGGCGGAGTTTTCCCTTAATAGGCTTTTACCTCAGGGCATAGGGTGGCGCCAAAGGGCGGGATCAGAATATTAATACACACCTGTGGCAAAATACTCATAAATCTGTAAAAATTAAAACAGGAAATATTAAAAAAGAAAATTGGAGGTATCCAAAAGACTTGAAGCCCCCACCCCACCAGCCAGGTACAGCAGCTTACCTTCTTGTTTTAATTACAGAAAAAATAAGCTTCTGTTCACTGAAGGCCTGACATTCTGTTCTATGGAGTACCCATACAGGTTGATCATCTGTTGAGAATTACTGTGACATTGGAATGAGGGTGTATACATCCAAAGTAGTGTCATGCAAGAATTGAACCAACCACAGGTTCTTAAAGTTAATATTTTTAATTAGATTTTTCCTGGGACTTTTGGGTACAGCTCCATAACTAAGTGTCCTAGATTGAGTAATTTAAGAGACTTTTTTTTTTTTTAATTTTTAGAGGCTAGAAGATCAAGAAGGAATTATAGGGTCTAGTACTGCAGCACAACAGTATGTCTATATCTGACTTAATCCCCAGCGCGGGAGGGGCAGGGACCAAGTACGACAACATTGGCAGAGTGAGCCCAAGGATTTCCCTCCCGTGAGTACTTCATCTAGCCGTGGCTCTGCTAAGTTTAGAGCACCTTCCAAAAGAGAAGGTCCCAGCTGTGATCAAGCCTTCCACAGTAGGGAACCTTCTAGGTTCAAACCGTAACTGTATGGATATAGAAACTGACTTACCTTAGTCTGGAGGCAGCTAGTTCAAACTCCGCCAGGTAGGTCAGCAAGCTGCAGACCTAGGGGAAAGTTGCAGTAGAGTCCAAAGAGCATCTGCTGGCAGAATTCCTATTTGCTTGGATGGAGTCAGTATTTGTCCTTGTTAGCTCTTCAGCTGATTGGATGAGGACCCCATTATGGGAGGAGGCCTTCCTTTTTACCAAAGCCCACATATTTAAATGTAAATCTCACCCCCAGACGCCCTATCAGAAACATCAATGAAGTTTGACCATCTGGTCACTGTGGGCCAGCTAAGTTGAAATATAAAATTAGCCATCACAAAGGGGATGTATTTCCACGTTCGGGGGAGTTTGGAATTTGTAGTGAAATGACTGTTCACAGTCTGAGAGCAGCCATGGCTTCCTTGGCTCTTTCTGCTTGGTAGATGGCCTCAGGCAGTAGACTTGGGAATGAAACAGGAGGTCAAGGCCTCTGGGGCCCATGGTGCCCAGTACCAGAAGCAGTGAACTAGTTTCAAAACAAAGCAAGTTTGGGAAGCTTTTCTAAATCTGACAGGTCACGTATACAAGAAATGTGAATGAAGTCTTCTAAAAATTTCCATCAGTCCTGAAAATGTACAAGGTGTTAGCTTTTATTCCTGTGATGACGACAAACTCCTCTGTGCTATCAATGGTCAAATGTAATTTTCAGCTGGTCATGCTAGAGTTCAGACTAATTTCGTTTCTATCTCCGTAGAAAATGTGAGCACAGACAAGTTATTCTCTGCAGACATGCTCAAGGGGTGTCGGCAGTTTCCTCTCTAGTGCTGTGACAAAGACTATGACCCAAAGCAACCTGGGGAGGAAAAGGTTTATTTCACTTTGCAAGTTATATATAGAATACCATGAAGTGAAGTCACGGCTGGAACTCAAGGCAGGAAGGAACCTGGAGGCAGGAATTGAATCAGAGGCCATGGAGGAGCACTGCTTGCTGGCTTGCTCCTCATGGTTTGCTCGGCCCCTTTTCTTATAACGCACAGGACCACCTGCCCAGGGGTAGCACCACCCATTGGGAGCTGTGTCCTCTCACATGAATCACTACTCAAGAAAATGCCCCACAGACTTATCTACAGGTGATTTGATGGTGACAATCTCTAAGTTGAGATTCCTTCTTCCTAAAGGACTCTAGCTTGTGTCAAGTTCATGGGGGGGGGGGGGAGGAACTGACCAGCACAAGGAGTATACAGCCTTCCAAATTATAAACTTTCACAAATGTATAATTTGTGACCATTTCTTCATTCAAGCTATTGAATATTCAATTTTGACCCAAGTTTATGTTGGTGATTGGCTTGTTGTTTCAATCCAAATGATGCTCAGAGATTGTGAGTGTCACAAGACCGGAATCTGCTCCTCCCCTCCCCCCCAAGGAGCCTGAGGCTGAGGGGCCAATGTGGAGGAAGAAGAAAGGTTCACGGGACTCTGAGAAGCAAAAGACAGATGTCTGCAGGGCAGTGTTGTTGGCTATGGGGGAGTTCCTGGGATGTTAGAATCTACGTCTTTTATGTCTGCTCTCGCGGAGCATGCCAGCCTCCTCTCAGCTCTGCTTCTGAAAATCTTTCAGGAACTCCTGCATGGCTCCACGTCACTTTGTTGCTTATAAGCAGCATGTCTGCAGTGGAGTCAGTAAGCATGGACTTGGGAGATTAGACCAATAGAAGCTGAGGACACCCAGTTCAATTCAAACTCCCGATCGACCTTCAGTTTTCTTTGGGCATGTTCCATGAAACACTGGCATCTTGTCTGGAAATCCTACCTGGGGAGCTTCCTTAAAAATATATGTTAGCAGGTTCCTAAGGACATTCATGTGTGTATGAAAGTGAGTGAAGGGGCTGGAGAGATGGCTCAGTGCAGTGGTTTAGAGCACTGACTGCCCTTCCAGAGGATCTGGGTTCAATTCCCAGTAGCCACATGGCAGCTCACAACTGTCTGTAATTCCAGTTCCCGGGGGCCCTGACACCCATGGCAAAACACCAACGCACATTAACAAAAAAAAAAATAAGTGAGTGAATGTGAGAAAGGCACAAGTCAAAAGAATCTTATGGCTGGGCGGTGGTGGCACACACCTTTAATCAGGAGGCACAGGCAGGCAGGTTTCTGTGAGTTTGAGGCCAGCTTGGTTTATGAAGCAAGTTCCAGGAAAGCCACCAGAACTACGCAGAGAAACCCAATCTCTAAAAAAAAAAAAAAAAAAAGCTTGGTTTATGAAGCAAGTTCCAGGAAAGCCACCAGAACTACGCAGAGAAACCCAATCTCTAAAAAAAAAAAAAAAAAAATCTTGTGAACATTCACAATAAATCTCTCCAATTTTGCTTCATGTACATCTCACAAAATTGTTGTGTAGTGTCCATAATTGCAGTCCATAATTGCAATGCTGAAATGTTTAATTAATGGATTCTTTTGTCTCCCAGTGGATTGCGGCAAGTTACAGATGATCCCCAACAGAAGGACATTAACTGGGTAGGTGTGTGGTCCTCATTCCATACTCACTATTACAGCCTAACTGTGATAGTCAAGATGTTTTACCAAGCAGCCACTGAACACCAACATTACAGCATCCAGGGCCTTTCTTGGGCATGTGACTTGAATTTGCATGGTTCACAGGGTCTCTCAAACTTTGCTTAATTCTTGCCTACCACCATCTTAACATTTGGCATAGTTTTATCTTTGAACTTAAATTTTGCAAGTGAATTCTGATGGGGCAATGGACCATGTGAGCAGGAGTCATGTTTTTGTTTGTTTGTTTGTTTGTTTGGTTGGTTTTTGGTTTTTGGAGACAGGGTTTCTCTGTGTAGCCCTGGCTGTCCTGGATCTCGCTCTGTAAATCAGGCTGGCCCTGAACTCACAGAGATCAGCCTGCCTCTGCCTCCAAGTGCTGGGATTAAAGGCATGTGCTACCATGCCCAGTGAGGAGTCAGGGTTTTAACAGATGTTCCATTCGCTTATCATGTATGGTCTAGTTTACACAGGATGCAGAGCCTTCAGGGAAATTCCAAGTGAGTATAAGGTAAGCATGTTATGTTTAATAATGAATGAAGAAAGCCTGTTCAATGTCTCAAGAGGATGTCCTTCCATTCAAACCATGTCTGTCTGGAATGCAGAAAGGAAGCAATAATATTCTCAAAAAGTATGTATGTAGCAGGGTGGGGGTGAACTCAGATTCCCTGGAAGAGCAGGATAAACTCTTAACTGCAGAGTCATCTCTCCAGCCTCAGGAATGGCATTGTAAGAAATTCAAAGGGGGCTGGAGAGATAGCTCTGTAGTTAAGATCACCCACCCAGTAAACACCGCGGAGGCTCCCAATGGTTAGTAACTCCGGTTGCAGGAGATCCAACACCCTCTTTTGGCCTCCATAGGCACTGCATGCACATGGCGCACAGGCATACATGCAGGCAAAACACATAAAATAGATAATAATAAAGCAACTCAAAGAACCAAAGAAATCCACTAAACCCTCTATTATTTATATGTATTAGCCAATGACAAGTATAGAGAATGATGGTGTGGAAAGAAAGGGGAAATGGGCCATGCATAGCTCCTTTTCCTTAATCCTAGATAAATAAAATGTGTACATTAAGAAGTGAATGCAACTGGGTGGTGGTGGCGCATGCCTTTAAGCCCAAGACTACAGAGGCAGAGACAGGCAGATCTCTGTGAGTTCAAGGCCAGCCTGGTCTATTTCAGGATAGGCTCCAAAGCTACAGAGAAACCCTGTCTTGACAAATAAAAAAAAAAAAAGAAGCGAACATATTGAACTGGGTGTGATGATAAACTCCTTTAATCCCAGCACTGGGGAGGCAAAGGCAGGCAGGATTTCTGTGAGTTCAAAGCCAGCCTGGTCTCAAGTGAGTTCCGGGCAAGCAAAGGCTACACAGTGAGACTGTCTCAAAAAACAAACAACAACCAAAAGAAAGAAACTGGAATGGCTGAGTGGGTTTTTATGCAGTATTTCCATTGTCCTTATAAGAACAAAAAACGGCACAATACATGTACAAGGAATGGAATATGGAAATTCTTCAAAGGTTAAATGCTCTGATAATTTAATTTAAAATCGACATTACACAGTACAAAGATGAATAGTAAAATCTCTGCTAGTAACTTAAAATTCAGTTTCTATTTTCACTCTTAGTGACAAAGGGACAAATAAAAATGGTATGACAAGGGAGGGAAGAGAGAGAAAGCTTTTTATTTTTACTCTCCGAACCATACTACCCCCCCACCGCCGCCATGTTTGGAACAAGGGGGTCACGCATTCTCATTTTGCACTGGCCCCTATAAATTATGTAGCCAGCTCTGACAGCACTGACTTTTCAGATCATCCAAGAGCCGGCTTACATGCAATTAGGGTCACAGGAGAGGGTGGAGGTAGACCTCACTGCCTCACACTGTTATTTTAGGAAGGGCGGAGCGGACTGCGATTTCGTGAAGGAATGCACTTCAGAAAATAAGTATGAAGATGAAAGAGCGGGGAGAGCCGGGCTTTCATTACGTCCCGTCTCGGCATTCTCTTAACAAATGAAGGACAGATATCCCACGCAAAAAGAATGAAGAGGGAGAGCTGAGGAGGCCAAGTCTCTCTGGGTTCCTTTCCCAGAAAAACCTAAAGGACCACAAAGTAAAGCTGGGGATCCATCCGTGAAAATAATGATAGGCTCCATATCACTGATGTTACTAGCTATGAAAGATTACACATGTTTCCCTACCCCCAAATCAGCACAAATGTCAGCCTTGTGGGCACCTAAGAAGATTTTATTTAGGTTAACCGATCAATAAAATAAAAATAGACTCGATGATCATGGCTGGTGCTTTTTAGACTGCTTATCATAAATATTTTATGGAAATTTAAGCAAGCCCACAAAAATCAGTAGTTTTATATTCATTCCCTTGTCAGATTTTAAAAGTCCATTTTCCTTAAAGGTATTCCATTGCCAACATTGCCTAGACCGGTGACTCTGAAGGGGTTTTGCCCCTCTTCTGTTTGGAATCCTAAGTATGTCTTTACTTTGAAAAGCAGGCTCTCCCCAGGGAGGGTGAGTTACAGGAAAAGGGGCCATTTCCTAGCTCCCTCACATCTGCCGGTCCTAATCTCCAATCAACTGAAATTTTCAGGTGAGACTTACAAATAAAACCGAAACGTGTCTGATCTTTACGACCTGAGTTGTTGAATCAAAGCTGCTCGTTAGGGAGAAAGATCACAAAGGCGAGCAAACACACACAAGGAATTTGCTGCCACATTCTCCAGGCAGCAAGCAACATCTGGAGCGGACGGACTTAACTCTTTATCTCCCCCCCGCCATTGATTTTACGTAATACTCTGGTAAGAAATAGATGAGCCGTTTCCATGTACTACTGACCAGAAAACTGACTCATTGATGGTCTGTCTCCATGTCCTACAAGAACATGGAGGTTCTTACTTGGTGTGAATATATTTATTATGCTCTTATTTCACTCTGGACAATATTTCCGGAGTCTCTGTTCTTTCCAACGACAGTGTAAGATGATCCTGTAGCTATCCTACATTAGAGAAGACACCAGGGATTAGCCGTGGAATAAGTCGTCCCAACTCTCAAACTTGAAAGTGATAAAGACTGAATTCAACTCTGTGCTTTCTTCGGAGTCTATTGCATTTAACCATGTAAGTCTCTCAAAGGATTACCCTCACTTACTCACTACCTAGAGGTTAAGGTTAGCTAGTGGACTTTTGGATGAGCTGAATGGTGGTGGCACACACCTTTAATTCCAGCACTCGGGAGGCAGAGATAGACTCTGTGAGGTTGAGGACAGCCTGGTCTACGAAGTGAGTTCTTGGACGCCCAGGGCTACACAGAGAAATCCTGTCTCAAAAAAAAAAAAAAAAAAGATTAGCAAGTAGACTTCTGGATGAGCCTTTCCTCTTTCTCTTCCCAAAGAAGACTAGGGGTGTATGTGTGTGTGGGGGGGGCAGGGAGGAGGCAGACAGAGATAGAGAGAGGGACAGACAGAGACAGAGAGAAATAGAGATGTCTCTATACATGGGTGTGTTACCTGTGGAGACTGAGGGAGACAATGAGTGCTCTATTCTGTTGCTCTTTTCTTTCTTCCTTGAGACCAGGTCTCTCATTGAACCTGGCGCTCACTGGTTTTGACTGGTCTGGCTACCAACAAGTCCCAGAGATTCTCCGAGGGTCTCGACATCCCCCAGCTGGCTCTGTGCTGCTCCAATCTCTGGCCTCTCTGCGTTGGGGTTGCAGGTGTACATGCAGCTTTTGATGTGTACGCTGAGGATCTGAACTCAGGTCCTCAAGCTGAAAGAGCAGGCACTCTTCCCTCTGAGCTGTCCCCCAGGCCCTCTGAGTTGTGAAAGGCAGAACAACCAGAAGGAAGTACAGCTCAGTACAAGCCCAGTGCTCTTTGCCTCTGCTCAGGATCGTTGTATTCAAGCTGAGTGTGTTTCCTTTTGCTGTCTCAAGTTTGAAGGGTTCCAGAAATACCCGATGTTTCCAGTAGTCTCAGAAAATAGAAGTTAGTGGTAGTTGATGGACTCCTGTAGAGTTTTAGGATGGTGTGTCGGATGATCCAGGGGCATCGGTGAGAGGATACACTGACCGCTGAATCAGCCTGTATTCAAAAAGAGTAGAGTTGCATGCTAAAGTAATCTATACAGAGCCTCCAGATAATGGAAATATCCTGCCAAACTTCAATAGGTACTTTGAAAACCCCTGTGCATTATCACTTGAGAAGAAGAATCATAGGCTGGATGATAATGTGTGTTATGACAATTTTATTTTGTGGTCACTATCAATCTGAGAAGACATTTGAAGTGATCAATGCATTTGACCTTGTCTTGATAAACCTTTTTTGAGAATCAATAATTTTGATAAGGAAATTTTATCAGAACTATCTTTAAAATATGTTTAAATGTGAGTGCAGGCTCCCATGGAGGCTGGGAGAAGATGTCAGATGCCCTGACAGGCAGTTCTGAGGTGTTTGATGTAGGTGCTGGGACCCAAACTCAAGTCCTCTGTCAGCACAGCACGTGCTGTGGTCTGCGGAGCCTTCTCCCCAACCTTGGCTTACCAGATTTATAAATGACCAAATACGAATCAATCAAGATTCTTGATATCATAATAGCCTTGAAATCTTGATCACTATGAAATAGATGAAATTAATAAAAAATGCAAAGATTTTATTGGTATAAATTTTTTAAGTTAGCATACAAATTTGGGGTTCATTATAGCACTTTTATACATATATACATACATGTATACATGCATACATACATACATGCCGTACTTTCTTATCATTTGTGTCCCTCCCACACTGCTCTCCCCATCTGCCTATCTTGCTGGTCCCCTTCCATCTCTCAGGTCGGCCCCCTTCCTGCTTTCATGTTATAGGAATTCCTTTTTGATCCCCTGCCCCTGTTTGGATTTAAACATATACTTACCGACCAGTTACCTTGTTTTTTTTTTTTTTGCGAGGGAGTGTCTTTTTTTGTTGTTGTTATTTTGACTTTTTTTTCCTTTCTAGAGTTGAGGACTGAACCCAGGGCTTTGTGCTTACTAGGCAAGTGCTCTACCGCTGACCTAAATCCCCAACTCCAACATTGACTCATCTGCAAAGACAGCTTGCATCAGGCAGGATGTGTGGTGGTAAGGAGTCTCCCAAAATCCAGTTGACTGAAGCACCATAATTTTACTTCTTACCTACCCACAGGCATGTCATCTAGGCCCCTCGGTGCCCAGTCTGTTCACTCTGGGGTCCAGAGGGATAGATTCAGTCCAATGCAAGCTCTCATTTGAACGCTGTTGCCTAGAATCAGTCTCAAATTAGTTCCTAAAGCTCTCAGCAAAGGAACACACTTCATCCGTCATCCCTCACAAGTGTTTTTCACATGAGCAATTGTCCTGCTGGATCTAACTTCCGTCTCATCAGGAATGAATGTTCTCTCCCCTGAGCACATTATAGGAGTCTATTTCCTCCAGGTGTGGTCATGAGACTTGGTCGGCCTTTGTGAGGTTTTATTTGATGGCGGAAGCCACATCAACTACAGAGTTGGTTGGTGAAAAAGTCAATGGATGCTCAGAGGGACCTGACTGGGATGTCTGTGCTAGGCTCCGACTAATGACCACCGGTGGCCTCCAAGCCTTAATACCCCTGGGATGTTACCTTCTATGGTGAAAGGGAGGCTGCAATGGTGGTTGACTGAAACGTTCTGAGATGTGAAGAGTGCTGTGGATGATGAGGGAGCTCATAATCTTCTTGTGGAAGAGGGAGAGAAAAAGAAATTGGCATGACATGTTTTGGAGATGAGTGAAAGAGCCCCGTCCAGCCTTGCTGACACACTGACTTTAGCTAAGACCCACTTCATACCCGAAACCCCCCTAGAACTAAATTATCATAAATTTCTGTTAAGCCAATCATTTTGCCATCTGATTTGGCAGCAATAAGAACCTAGCATGAAGGTGACAGAGGTGGCCCAGTGGTTCAAAGCACTTGCTGTTTCAGAGGCCCTGGGTTCAATTCCCAGCACCCACATGGTGGCTCACAACTGTCTATAACTCCAGTTCCTGGAGATTCAATGATCTCTTCTGACCTCTGCAGGCAACAGACATATACATGGTACACATGGCACAAGGACATACAAGCAAGCAAAACACCCACAATATATATTAAAAAATAAATAAATCTAAAAAAAACCTAAGATAAGATTTTTAAAAAGTAACTAGCTTTTTTGTCATATCTTTTGTTTATAGAAGCAAACAGAATGAAAAGGAGACTGGTTCTCTAGGGAAGCTTTGTTTAGTCAAGAGGAAACAGACTTTTGTATGTGACCTGTCTCATGGACATGGATGTGGTCACTAGCGCTGACTTCATCAGCAGGTGGCCTTGTGACTCCCGTTGACTCATGACAAGAATGACACCTATACATCGCTAGCACAGACTGTGTAGTTAACGCTGGGCTGAGGCATGAAGGCACTGGGTGTCCACCAGTCAAGCCTATTGCCAGAGAACCTTGCATTGGGTAGGAAATTTGGATACATTTTTTTTTCAAGTTCCTGCCACCGCTTTTCTTGTGTAATATTCCATACCACGGGATGCTTGTAGGTGGCCAGGGGTGTGCTAAAATGGAGCTCATGGTTGGTCTACCAGTAGGTGAGAGCCCATGTCCAAGGGAGGAGGCTGAGGAGGAGCCAGTGCAAAGGTCTGGAGGCAGGAAGGTGCCCACTGAGAACTCCAAGGAGAAGAGGCTGGGCAGGGGAAAAGCTACAGAAGGACACAAGCAGGACTTTGTTCATAGACTAGCAGGCGTTCGGACGATTGGATGGGAGGACAGAGCTTTCTGAGTGAATTCTATGGACACTCATATATGCTTTTAAATTCTACAGTCAGTCACACAGCTTAAAGTCTGGGGATAGATATAGAAAAGGGACTTGACAATTTTCAAGACTTTCCTCTTTTCCCTTACTCTTTGGAGTCTCTGTTACTGACCCCCATCTTCCTGGGCTACCCACTGAGATTATTTCTGGGGACACCACCAGCGTCCTAAGCATCTGGAGTGCTGGCCACAGTTCCAGCCTCATGGAAGTGGAGCCTAAGAGTCTCAAACCTCAGCCAGACCCCTAGGGCACGCCTCTGCTTCTTATACAGGAGATGCTACCATTCTGCAAAAAAAAAAAACGACACCCTTAAGATCTCTAACTTCCTGTATATTTTCACCAGCACGCCACCTGGCATGTAGTGTGTAAGAGAAAAAAATCTGTGCAAACAATAAGTAATTTCATCTAAAACTGTACCTTTGACTCCGTCTTATGCACTCCTTGGTGAGGACTCCTTACATTCCTGCAGGTTGCAGTACTCCTGAGACCCAGGCCAAATCCCAACTGCTGCCGGTCCAAATGGGCTCACACTTCAATACTGTACCAGATAGAGCCGAGAATCTTTCCTTTGCAAGAGCGTTCTCTGTTCAGTTTCCCCTGAGCTGGCAGGATCACCATGTACCTTCTATTTCAAGGGAAAATCGCAACAACTTTAGTTCGAATTTCTCTCTTCGGTTATCTGAAAAACTGCAAGAGCTCCAGGAGGTCCCCTCAGTGTTACATCTCCTCCTCCTCCTCCTCCTCCTCCTCCTCCTCCTCGGTGTATTAATCACTTGATGATGTAGGCCATTAGCTCCCTGACTCCTTGCCTTTTACACGGGATGACTTTGAGATTCTCTCTGAAGGCAGAGGAAATCTTTCACCGTTTGTTCTCAGGCCTATCCTAACTAGTACTGTATCTCACATTCACAGACATAACTCATGAAGCCGTCAACAAACAGCACTTAGTTCTGGCCCATGTGTGCCCCCTGACACCTCACCCTCAAGCATGCTTCAATGCTCAGCCCATCTTTGTTGGTACAGTATTACCAGGGACACGTGACAGCTCCTAAGCAAGGCTATGCAGATTTCCCATCGCCCTTTGTGCCCCCCCCCACCCCGGGCTCTGCCCAAGTGTCTGTTATTGCATATGTGGCATTGACAAGAAACTCAATTGATCACTTCTTCCCCCAATAACCTTCCAAGAAAAGAGACCATGTTGTTTTCATCTTAGCATTTGCATTGACTAGCAGCACAGAGCCTCTACACAGAAGCTGCAAAATAAATAATCATTTACAGTCATTACACGTAATTAATTACTGATTACATTGAATCAGTCATTGTCAGAGTTGATTTTGGGGAAATGCCTAGAATGGTTCAGTTCTGGCAGGCATCACGGCAGGCACCTAAGACTAGTCTCAAATGATTATGCTTTTGCATATTTTCACCAGGGTCTCTGGGATTGATTTATCCTGTTTTTCCTTTTACACTTAGGGCAGATAAAATGTATTAGATAACAGTTTCTGTTTTATTAGAAAACAATCTTTCCTAAAGCTTTCTGTTCCTTATTTTTGCTCCAAACCATGAGTTTGAAGTTTAGCATAGTGATAACGCATCAAATCTCAAGTAGTACAATAGATGATGAAAGTACTTATTCATCAGAGTCAATTAAACGTGATGAGATTCAGTTTGAAGGCTGCCAGATTTCCATGAGGCAAAAACTTTCTCCCTGTTCTGAGAGCTGCTTCCTGGAAATCACATACCATTTCATCCTGATGATCTCGGGGCATTCTTGGAGACCATGACTAGAATGTATTGAGTATTTGCTGTCCCTCACCCTAAATTCGTATATTGAAGTCCTATTTTACAATGTGATGCTATTGGTGGGTGCGGCCTCCGTGGAGATAGTTGGTTTATGAGGGTGGAAGCCTTGACCTAATTTCTTAGAACTCACTCATATTGGCATCCTAATCTTGAACCTCTAGCTGTAGAAACTTGAGAATAAATTTCTGTTGTGTTTAAGACACCTAGTGCTTTGTATTCTGTTGTAGAGAGTGTCTGACTATGTAGCCAAGGCTAGTATTGAACTTGCTTGATCCTCCTGCCTCAGCCTCCAGAGTGGTGGAATTACAGGCATACACCACTGTCTCCTGCTTGCAACGGTTATTGATGATGGAAACTGAAGAGCGAGCATTCTCTGATTGTATCACAGAGTACCACAACAACTCCAGCAGTGGCTTTGCAGCCTGGTCTTAGGAAAATGCCCCAGTGAATTCAGAGCACAGAAGCTTTCTCTTGGTAGATTCGTTAAGGAATAGATTGAAAACGAAAGTCACAGGCCGGGCGGTGGTGGCACACACCTTTAATCCCAGCACTCGGGAGGCAGAGGCAGGCGGATCTCTGTGAGTTCCAGGACAGGCGCCAAAGCTACACAGAGAAACCCTGTCTCAAAAAACAAAAAAAAAAAAAAAAAAAAAAAAAAGAAAAGAAAACGAAAGTCACGGCAGACCAACGAGGAGAGAGAGGAGAGAGGCAAGTCTCCCGCTACTACCTTCGTAATGGGGTTGGAGGCTCGGAAGAGGAACAGGAGACTCCACTGTACCTTTGCTCAGCAAGCCTTCAAAGTCTGGAGAGAAAGGCAGCGAAAGGGTAGGTCTAGGAGGAAATGAGAGAAAAGTTGCAGGAACAAAGATCCTACTGTTGTGGTTTGAATGAGAATGGCCCTCATGGACTCATATGTTTGAATAGTTGGTCCCCAACTAGTGGAACTGTTTGGGAAAGAGTGGAAAGGGTGGCCTTGTTGGAGGAGGTGTGTCACTTGGAGTGAGGTTTTAAAAGACTCTAGCCATTCCCAATTCCCAGTATATTTTGCTGTTGTTTTGTTCTTTGGTTTTTCTTTTTCCTCATTTTTAAAAATTTTTTTCAAGGCAGGGTTTTTTGTTTTTTTTTTTTTTTT